CTATGCTGATCGGATTCCTGGGGGCCCGGGCCATCGGTTCCATTGCTATTTTCCTGTTTACGGTAAATGCATTAAGAGACGTGCCGCCGCGCCAATGGTTTCGTGAAAAGTGGTGGTTGCTGGGTTTGATATGGATAGGAATGTATGCGGTATCCTGGTTCTGGACAGATAGCCAGGAGGGCTGGAACGATCATATACAAGTGAAGATACCGTTTTTGCTATTGCCCCTGGCGTTTGGCTTCCTGCCACGGTGGGGGGAGAAAGAGTTGCGCTGGTTTACCATCCTCTTACTGGGTATCATGGCTTCCGGTGTCTGCTTCAGTCTTTCGTTTTTGCTTCGTGATACCGCCGCGCTGATCGAAAGTTATAAGTATTCCAAGATTCTACGTACTCCTGTTTATGGCGATCATATTACGTTTAGCACTGCCATTGCCATTTGTGTGGCCTGGTGTTTTTATATCCTGCCGGTCTGGCATTCGCGGCTGGGGAAGGGCGCTGTATTATTTACAGCCGTCTTTTTTATCCTTTACCTGCATATCCTTGCGGCCAAAACGGGGCTGGTGGCCTTGTACCTTTTCTTCGCCCTTTACTTGTTCCGTTTTTTGCTGAGCAGCTGGAAGCACGGCCTGCTGGCTATCGTATTGAGTATTGCAGGTTTTATTGCCATTTACCGGGCGGTGCCTACGTTCCGTGAGCGGATCAATTATACCCGGTATACGTATGAGCGCTTTTTTGACGGTCATCGCGAAGGGCATTACAGCGATATGGGCCGCATTATCTCGTATGAGCTTTCCTGGAAACTGATAAAAGAACATCCCTTGCTTGGCGTAGGTGCAGGAGATATGATGGATGAAATGAGCCGGAAGTATGAACAGTATTATCCTGCTATCAACGATGATGAGAAGCTGATACCACATAACCAGTTTCTGACCATCGCCCTGGCTGCCGGCATTCCTGCCATGCTCGCATTTATCATATGGATCATGGTGCCGCTGGGCAGTGTGAAACGGAACCGGGAGGGTTTCTTTTTTGTGGCCTTATGGCTGATGTTATTGGTACAATTATTTACAGATCCATCATTGG